CAAGTACGTGGACTCCTAATAAGTCGCCATGTCAAGGAGACCGAAAAAAACGCCAGTAGTGTCAAGTGTAGTACAGAAATCCAGCAAAGAGGAGGAGGAAGAGGAGGACCTAGGCAGAACGAAAGTGTTCACTCTGAATATGCTGGTGTGGATGTTGGGCCACAGAGGTGGGACATGTTCAATATTGGAAGGTAGTATGGGAGTGGGAAGTGTTGTTTTCAGAGTTACCGTGACGAAGGAAATTTTATAAACGGGAAAGAACGATGAGATGGGAGATGTTATATTGGGGAAAATACCACGAGATTGGAGGTGTTATATCCAGGGAGGTACCACGAGATTGGAGGTGTTATATCCGGGGAGGTACCATGCCGTGCGAAGTGACATATACCGGGAAGTACAACAGCTTGGGAAGTGTTATATAGGTTGACGCACACCATGAAAACTGTTTTTTTTTAGGGAGAATGACATGGAAAGTGTTATTTATGAGGAGGTACCACGAATTAAAATTGTTAAATATTGAGAGGTATCACGAGAATGGAAACGTTATGTACGAAGTTAGAGAAGTTAAATACGGGAAAGTTAAACGAAGTGAGAATTGTTACATACGGGAAGGTAGAAGGAGGTGTTAAGTGCTGTTTAAGGAGGGGGGTACCACGAAGTAAGAATTGTTAAATACGGGGAGGTAGAAGGAGGTGTTCAGTATTGTATAAGGAGGGGGTACCACGAAGTGTGAATCGTTATATACGGGGAGGTAGAAGGAGGTGTTAAGTATTGTATAATGAGGGGGGTACCACGCAATGAAAATTGTTAAATACGGGGAGGTAGAAGGAGGTGTTAAGTATTGTATAAGGAGGGGGTACCACGCAGTAAAAATTGTTGAATACGGGGAGGTAGAAGGAGGTGTTAAGTATTGTATAAGGTGGGGGGTACCACGAAGTGTGAATCGTTAAATACGGGGAAGTAGAAGGAGGTGTTAAGTGTTGTATAATGAGGGGGGTACCACACAGTAAAAATTGTTAAATACGGGGAAGTAGAAGGAGGTGTTAATTGTTGTATAATGGGGTACCACGAAGTAAGAATTGTTAAATACGGGGATGTAGAAGGAGGTGTTAAGTGTTGTATAAGGAGGGGGGTACCACGAAGTAAGAATTTTTAAATACGGGGAGGTAGAAGGAGGTGTTAAGTATTGTATAAGGAGGGGGGACCACGAAGTAAGAATTGTTAAATACGGGGAGGTAGAAGGGGGTGTTAAGTATTGTATAAGGAGGGGGGTACCACGCAGTGAGAATTGTTAAATACGGGGAAGTAGAGGGAGGTGTTAAGTGTTGTATAAGGAGGGGGTTACCACGCAATGAGAATTGTGAAATACGGGAGGTAAAACGAAGTGGGAAGTGTTATATAAGGGAAGGTAAAAGTGACTAGTGTGTAAATACAACACATATGATACCTTTGTATCTAGTATGTAGACACTACATGTATCATACCTGTGTATCTAGTATGTAGACACAACACGTATCATACCTGTGTGTCTAGTAAGTAAACACAACACGTATTACACATGTGTCAAGTGTGTAATTACAACACGTCTGATGTCTGTATGTCAAGTGTGTAAACACTACATGTATTATACATGTATGTCTAGTGTGTAAACACTACATGTGTGTCTGATGTGTAAACACAACACGTATCATACATGTGTGTCTAGTGTGTAAACACTACATATATTATACATGTATGTCTAGTGTGTAAACACCACACGTATTATACCTGTGTGTCTGGTGTGTAAACACAACACGTATCATACATGTGTGTCTAGTGTGTAAACACTACATGTATTATACATGTATGTCTAGTGTGTAAATACTACATGTGTGTCTGGTGTGTAAACACAACACGTATCATACATGTGTGTCTAGTCTGTAAACACTACACGTATTATACATGTGTGTCTAGTCTGTAAACACTACACGTATTATACATGTGTGTCTGGTGTGTAAACACAACACGTATCATATCTGTGTGTCTAGTAAGTAAACACAACACGTATTACACATGTGTCAAGTGTGTAATTACAACACGTCTGATGTCTGTATGTCAAGTGTGTAAACAATACACGTATTGTAACTATGTGTCTAGTGTGTCAACACATCGTTGATAAAACCTGTATGTCTATTGTACAAACACAACACGAATTATACCTGTGTATCTCGTTAACACAACATATATTATACGTCTAGAGTGTAGACATGTCTATATTGTAATTATGTATAGTTTGTTAACACAGTACGTATCATAGTTGTGTCAAGTGTGTAAACACAACACTTATTACACGTGTGTTAAGTATGTGACCACAGCTATGATTCTGCGGTTGATCTGTTTTTGAGATTTGACACTAAATCTTTAAAGTCCTCTACAGTTATGATCAGCTTCTTGGCTGTACTAGTTATTCAATAATGATCTTAATCAACAGGATGTCTATATAAACTGTATTATACAGCCCAATTTAAGTTTGTTAATATAACTTATGTGAGTGTAAGCGCACGTGTCCATTCTCGTCAACTATTGAGGAGAACGACTGAAGGTCGTAAAATGTGCTCATTAACCTGACGGAATGTTAACAAGGGTTTGGAAAAATGTTTCAGTTCTTTATTGATTGGCTAATGGATTTAATGATACTTACAATGGCACGCGTGTCTTATAGATGTTGTTTCATGTTCTACAATTATCTTATAATTGTCATGGTTATTTGGTCTTCAATCTAAGGATTGCTGCAATGGCGTTGTGGATTTTTGTAGGGTTTACAAGTTGCGATCACGAAGTCTGCCATGCTTATCTCCCTTGGCTAATCTGGTACAGGTTCGCGATTTTTTCTGATTAGTATTCACCTGTCTATGGAAAACAAAGTGAGTGTCTTTGGAATTGTGTGTTTCAAAATTTTGATTGAAATTGGTTGAAAAATAAATAACAAAAAATAAACTAAAATAAATCGGTATTTGGACAGGTAACTCGCTGGAACTTTCTGTGAGCTTCTGACCTAAGGATTGGTTAGAAAAGTACCTTGACCTACACAATATTCCTACAAGCATTCATAGAGAAGTGGAAATAAAATAAAAGTACCAAAAAGTCAAAATAATTCTAACAAACTGCATATCACAATAAAACTTTGAAACTTGTAATGCCAAATTCTTGTTCAATAAAGTAGATTTTAACCAATGAAGACCAAAACACATCTTATTTCCTGTTGATATGATTTTCGGTTTAAAGCGCGAGACGTACAAAAATTGGAACGGTGTGTTACGGAACAAAACGATACTAAAATACGGAACGATTCGGTACCGAACAAAACGATTCTAAAGTACGGAACGATTCGGTACCGAACAAAACGATTCTAAAGTACGGAACGATTCGGTACCGAACAAAACGACCAAAACGATTCTAAAATACGGAACGATTCGGTACCGAACAAAACGATTCTAAAGTACGGAACGATTCGGTACGTGACAAAACTATTATAAAGTACAGAACGATTCTGTACCGGACAAAACGATACAAAAGTACGGAAATATTTGATACTGGACGAAACGATTATAAAATTATGGACGACTCGATACAAGACAAAACGATACTGAAATATGGAACGATTCAGGACGAAAGAAAATTATACTACAGTACGGAACGTTTTGATACCGAACAAAACGATTCTAAAGTACGGAACGATTTGATACCGGACAAAACTATTCTATAGTACGGAACGATTTGATACCGGACAAAACGATTCTAAAGTACGGAACGATTTGACACTGAACAAAACGATTCTAAAATTCGGAACGACTCGGTACGGGACAAACTGTTCTAAAGTAAGGAGCGATTCGGTACGAGACAAAACGATATCAAAATACGGAACAGAAAATGTGTACGATGACCGTTAATCCTGTACATATATATACCTATCACCGCTAGCTTCAGTGAGCATTACCACGTGCCTGGCATTAAATATATCAAATTGACAGATATCAACGTGTCGACGGATGCATCTAGTTTTAGAAAGTAAAAATAAAAAACAAATAAATAAATAAAATAGGCGCTTATATAACTCAAGGACTTAGAAACAATGTACATTAGAACTGGCTCTGGGGCATTAACACATTAAGTATTCACAGATTCCGGCAATAAAATATTCACATAATATCGGTAATATCTTTGACTGGTTGTATAATGAACATTGATGAAAACATTCAAGATGTCGCACTGTTGTGTATAGTGTTTAGATATATACAGCACTATTGTGTATAGTGTTTAGATATAGACCGCACTGTTGTGTATAGTGTTTAGATATAGACCGCACTGTTGTGTATAGTGTTTAGATATAGACCGCACTGTTGTGTATAGTGTTTAGATATAGACTGACTTTTGTGTATAGTGTTTAGATATAGATAACACTGTTGTGTATAGTGTTTAGATATAGACCGCACTGTTGTGTATAGTGTTTAGATATAGACCGCACTGTTGTGTATAATGTTTAGATATAGACCGCCCTGTTGTGTTTAGTGTTTAGATATATACAACACTGTTGTGTATAGTGTTTAAATATAGACCGCACTGTTGTGTATAGTGTTTAAATATAGACCGCACTGTTGTGTATAGTGTTTAGATATAGACCGCACTGTTGTGTATAGTGTTTAGATATAGATAACACTGTTGTGTATAGTGTTTAGATATAGACCGCACTGTTGTGTATAGTGTTTAGATATAGACCGCACTGTTGTGTATAGTGTTTAGATATAGACCGCACTGTTGTGTATAATTTTTAGATATAGACCGCACTGTTGTGTATAGTGTTTAGATATAGACCGCACTGTTGTGTATAATTTTTAGATATAGACCGCACTGTTGTGTATAATTTTTAGATATAGACCGCACTGTTGTTTAGATATAAATTAAACAACATAAAGTCATACTTATTTCACTGACATAGAAGCGTTTTTTTTCTATCTCTTAAGACGAAGACGAAAAGAACAGGGAGAGGAGGGAAAATGTAGACATTGGTCACGTGTCCTATATGGACGCATGTCAGCTCTTAGGCTCCTCGCCTATCCGGTTAATCTTACAACAGCTCAGGGAGCGCGAGATCCGCCTTCAGCACGTGGGACTCAATGCCAAGGATACGGTAGCCCTAGCATATGCTCTGTTGGTAAGTTGTGTGCATACCATTTGAAAAACAACGAAAACAAAAACAACGAAAGCAAAAATAAAAGTAAAAAGACTGAAGTATTAAAGGAAAAGTAAAATATTCATACAAGACAATTGAAGTGCAGATGGGTCTCTCCTGACGATATATCGTTATATTATTTGCAGCACAACAACCGAGTGGAGAGCCTGGATCTAGAGGACAATGGACTGTCAGAGGAGGCTATCGTACATGTTGTAGAAGTTTTACATCACAATATCAACATCGCAAACTTGGTGAGTACCATCATCAGTGTCAACATCGTCAGTGTCATCATCGTTAATATGGTGAGTACCATGGTCAGTGTCAACATCGTTAATATGGTGAGTACCATGGTCAGTGTCAACATCGTTAATATGGTGAGTACCATGGTCAGTGTCAACATCGTTAATATGACCAGTGCCATGATCAGGGTTGGTAGATTCATAATTACGTACATGTAATAGGAGGGAGTAATGAAAAACATTTTCCCTCTAATGGGATTCGAACTAGCGACCCTTCAGTCTCTGTCCGGACATGCTACTACTAAACTAAAGGAGAATTCCCACTAACTCTCAACTTCTGCAATTACAGAGGGTTATACAGTGTACGTTTCCACACCACACTTTATGTATTGAATAAAACGTTCGATGACATATAAGTTTAGATGAAGCAATACTGACTCCTAGGTTATAAATATATCTGTTTTTTCTTCGTTTATAACATATACATACGCAAAAACAATTTTTGCAGCTGATTAAAATAATGTTTGATGGAATTGTCTATAAGTTTCAGAACGTATCACCAATAGTCCTGATAAATAGGGGACCGCGTTAGCTCCGACGGTTAATTATGTCGGGACTTGAGGTGTGTGGGTCGGCAATCTCATACCGTCCGGTACTATCGTAGTTATATCCTAGGGTATGGCGCTCTACCCTCGCTGTTGTTGATGGCATGCGACGGACATCCAGTATGTTTATCAATGAGGTAGCTATCAGCTGCTACAAGAATACCCCCTAACTCATCCCGTCTGTTGACCACAACAAAACAATCATGAAAAATAGTCCCGCTATTGTAAGAACGAGTTATCTCCCATTAGTCGTTAATGTTCAACATTTGGTGCCGATTATATCAGACCGAGTCCGTACAAGAAAATGCCCCTTCGGTCATTTTCGGCCTTGGGCCATTTGCAATTTCTAAAACAAAATTCGTAAATAACTAGTTGTAATAAGGATGTCTACCAAATTCCCTCACCTGTACAGTGTTTGTATTTTTTCCGATTAAACCAGCTATATTGTATCCATATAACGTCCAGACAGTGAAACTTTTTTTAACGAGTAGTTTTTACTCTTGCGGCTGTTAAAGAACACGGCCTTATTAATCATGTATTAAAAAAGCGAGAGAGTGGAACATTTTCCAAGTTTAAGGGCATGTTTGAATGGATTTCCTCTAACGGGGTCAGTGTTACTGACAATATATATTTTGTCTAGCCTACACGTCATGACATGACACGTGACTTCTGTGTCTATCAGCTACCCAAAATACACATAAAACCAAATTATTCATTAAAAGTTGGCTGTTCTTTTGCGCATGCAAGTATTCGTCACGCGATGTCATGTTTTCGTTCCACACAAATACGCGTCACTGTGAGAGGTAGTTTTAGTATAGAGACGGAGCTGTAGGAGGGGCATTTCGCAGTACATGGCTCAGCACACTTATTAACCAATGAAAAGTCTTGTTACTTTGCCGATGTGGTATGAGATACTGTAACAGATGTCATTATTTATTTCAATGCCTCCGCTAGGAATCGAACCCGAGACCCCTGGCTTACTATTCTGACGCTCATCCAATCGAGCTAAAGAGAAGTTCTCTCTAGTCGAGTGTAGTATATTGCGGCTAGTATTTTTCCAGTATTACAATACAGTAAACATATTTTGTTACTATCAATTTAATATACAATGTTGATTTCATTAAGGGGCGTTGCTGGTAGTCTAAATACCAATAAAAGGTGTTGTTACACTGCTTCTAGACCTGTCATATAATGTACATGTATCTAATGTCATTGTAATGTATGTATATATGTATGTATACTTTGTTATCACTGCAATGCATTGATATATGTATATATGTATCCTTTATTATCACTATAGTATATGTATACATTAATATCATTATAATTTGTCTATATAAACATACTTTACAGAGTTTATCAGAGAATGCCTTAAATAAAAGCTGTGCAGTAGTTCTAGGAGAAATGTTGACGGAGACAACTTTCCTCACACATCTAAATTTGTCTGGTAATGTATCACATATTAAATGTTCTATTTGTCCTGTTACTTCCTTCTATATAGGTTCATTGAATGTTTGATCACACTCCAAATAGTTAGCGAAACACACTTTAGACAAGGACTAAGTGGCCGGCAAAGACACTTCAGAATTGTGTCCGACAAAGACATTTCAGAAGTGTGTCCGACAAAGACACTTCAGAAGTGTGGCCGGCAAAGACACTTCAGAATTGTGTCCGACAAAGACACTGCAGAATTGTGGCCGGCAAAGACACTTCATAATAGTGTTTGGCAAAAACAATCAGAATATTATCCGACAAAAACACATCAGATACTTAACAGTGGCCAGCAAAGACATTCAGCATTGTGTCCGACAAAGACACTTCAGATACTTCAGATAGTGTCCGACAAAGATATTCAGGACAGTGTCCGACAAAGACATTCCAGATAAATGGCCGACAAAGACATTCCAGATAGTGGCCGACAAAGACATTCAGGACAGTGTCCGACAAAGACATTCAGGACAGTGTCCGACAGAGACATTTTTCAGAATAGTGGCGACAAAGACATTCAGGAAAGTGGCCGACAAAGACATTCAGGACAGTGGCCGACAAAGACATTCAGGACAGTGGCCGACAAAGACATTCCAGATAAATGGCCGACAAAGACATTCAGGACAGTGTCCGACAAAGACATTCAGGACAGTGTCCGACAAAGACACTCAAGTATAAGAATCGTCAAAAAAAAAAAATTTAAAAAAATACCAGGAAAGTGACCGTTCAAAGAAATTTCAAATTCCTTTCTGACAAATATAGTTGACAATCTGAACAAGAAAAATTAATATAATATGCTCAGTTTAGTGTAAAATATATCAAGGCCAGTGAAAGATAAATATTTACAGGAAACATATTATCATCTTTTATTATTGTAGGTTGTCACCTCGGGGATATAAAAGTGAAACAGATAGCACATGGCCTGAGGGTGAGTTAGTCTGCTACAAACATTGAACGTTACGTTGCTACAGATTGTGTAATGTTTGTGAACATTGTGAGTCATGAAAAATAGATTTCAACGGTGAATGAAGTCGATAATGTGATTTTTTTTATAAAGGCAGGACTCATAAAAAACAAAATTGATGTTTAGATCGAACATTGTTCTGATTGTCTTGATATGGTCATTTGTCTTCCAAGGGCAATGTTAGCCTGGTGTGGGTTGACCTCAGTCACAATGAAATTGGAGAACACGGCGCACATAATCTTGGAGCAGCTCTTGGTAAGTGTTCATCACAACAATAAAAAATAACAATTAATGTCCTTGGCAGCACAGTCTGTATCTTTATCGTATTGTTATGTAGTTATATAATGATGGAGGTATGTAGTTGTGTAATGATGGAGGTATGTAGTTATATAATGATGGAGGTATGTAGTTATATAATGATGGAGGTATGTAGTTGTATAATGATGGAGGTATGTAGGTATATAATAATGGAGGTCTATAGTTATATAATGATGGAGGTATGTAGTTGTGTAATGATGGAGGTATGTAGTTATATAATGATGGAGGCATGTAGTTATAAAATGATGGAGGCATGTAGTTGTGTAATGATGGAGGTATGTAGTTGTGTAGTGATGGAGGTAAAATTGTCAAATTTTCGAGGCAATCTGCCCCTTTATCAAGATACAAAAAACTCGAAAAGTTGACTATTCACTTGTCCGTACTGTCGTGGTTGTAGACGTGTTGCTGTCTCTACGGAACAAATATTTCATTTATAAGTTTTGTTATATTCTATCACAGATTCCGTACCATATATTTTGCAGATCTCCAATTTTATTTCAGTTGTCACGCCCCTGATATAACACATATCCAATGCTTTTGTATAGCATTTTAGATCGACCATCTACTCTTTCGGTTCGAAAAAATGGCAATGATCTGAATAAACAACCTGTCTGTGTCTACACCTTGACACAAATTGGTGATAAAAGTTACATAGTTATCACCCTTGAACTTAAAAAAACGAGATTCTCAATTAACTTGGACAGTCAGTATCTTATCACAGTCCATAATCACGAGTTCATCTATTAAAAAGTTCTTAGTGTCTTCTAGTTGTTATAACACGTGACCAGGTTTAGGGCAGTGATAGGTTGTCTCTACACCTGGTCAGTTCGGTCAGTCAGGACTTTCTCTGGGATAACTTGTAGTGACAGATGGGGTATTTAGTCACGACGAACAACACGTGTGAGTGTTATGTGATCACGGGTAAAATGCAATCACATTTTCATAAAAAGGTCGGATTTATTATTGCATGTACCGACGGCCTACTTCTATCGTATCTAAACCAATAAATTCAAAATTGGATTGGGAGTCAGATTTCAAATGTTTACCGGATAAAACAGACAATAACACATAAATGCAAACAGCATTGCTCAACAAAGGAATGTGTAGATGTTTAGGAAAATAAGATAGCAATCAGTATCATAAATATTAAAGGGACATTATATCGTTAAAACGATTTACGGCTGCAAAAATAAAACAGAACAAAAATGTATTTTATGAAGGAATTTAAATTATGAGATGTAACATAAACATCAAGTTTTTTAAATACGGAATATCTGAATTCCAGCCGAATTACGTGCACACCAACCGAATTACGGGTACACCAACTGAACTTCGTGCACACCAACTGAATTACGTGTACACCAACCGAATTACGTGTACACCAACTGAATTACGTGTACACCAACTGAATTACGTGTACACCAACCTAATTACGTGTAACCAACTTACGTGTACACCAACTGAATTACGTGTACACCAACCTAATTACGTGTACACCAACTGAATTACGTGCATACCAACTGAATTACGTGTACACCAACTGAATTACGTGGACAACAACCGAATTACGTGTACACCAACCGAATTACGTGTACACCAACTGAATTACGTGTACACCAACCTAATTACGTGTACACCAACTGAATTACGTACATACCAACTGAATTACGTGTAAACCAACTGAATTACATGTACACCAACTGAATTACGTGTACACAAACCTAATTACGTGTACACCAACTGAATTACGTGCACACCAACTGAATTACGTGTACACCAACCGAATTACGTGTACACCAACTGAATTACGTGTACACCAACCGAATTACGTGTACACCAACTTACGTGTACACCAACTGAATTACGTGTAAACCAACTGAATTACTGTAACCAACCGAATTACGTGTACACCAACCGAATTACGTGTACACCAACTGAATTACGTGTACACCAACCTAATTACGTGTACACCAACTGAATTACGTGCATACCAACTGAATTACGTGTACACCAACTGAATTACGTGTACACCAACCTAATTACGTGTACACCAACTGAATTACGTGTACACCAACCGAATTACGTGTACACCAACTGAATTACGTGTACACCAACTGAATTACGTGTACACAAACCTAATTACGTGTACACCAACTGAATTACGTGCACACCAACTGAATTACGTGTACACAACCGAATTACGTGTACACCAACTGAATTACGTGTACACCAACCGAATTACGTGTACACCAACTGAATTACGTGTACACCAACCTAATTACGTGTACACCAACTGAATTACGTGCATACCAACTGAATTACGTGTACACCAACCGAATTACGTGTACACCAACTGAATTACGTGTACACAAACCTAATTACGTGTACACCAACTGAATTACGTGCATACCAACTCAATTACGTGTACACCAACTGAATTACGTGTACACAAACCTAATTACGTGTACACCAACTGAATTACGTGTACACCAACCGAATTACGTGTACACCAACTGAATTACGTGTACACCAACTGAATTACGTGTACACCAACCGAATTACGTGTACACCAACTGAATTACGTGTACACCAACCTAATTACGTGTACACCAACTGAATTACGTGTACACAGAATAAAAAGGAAAATCAGCTGGTTATTGAACAACAGAAAAGTCGAATCAACATTGATAAAGCCAAAAAAAGTTCGAGGACTGCAAAAACAACAATGTTAATAGAATCTTTATCGTTGTTATCAAAATGTAGAAAATCCATACAAGGGATATCGAAATTATCATGCTTACTAAAGTGTATCGTACTGCGTGGTGGAAAGTTCTTGTTGATTTCAGTATAAGTAAAGATCGTGATACGCGGCTGATGTAGAAGTCTGACGTGTCTCTGATTTCTAATTCCAATAGGTATATAGGATGGACAGATATAGTCAATAAATAGCTGAACATCTGACTGTGAAATTGAAGGTCTTTGCGACCTGTTTCCATGAACTCTTTGATAAATTTTGAACTATAAAAAACAGTAAATAAGTCAGCCGAGAGATGAGTACAGTTTGTTCCCAGAAGTAATGCCTATAGTTTGTTGGAAGATCTGAAAGAAATCACCTTTCTTAGCTAGGAAAGGGGGCGTACAGAATTGTCTTAACCCGATGTTATAATTTTGAAGTTATACTTATGTAACGTAATGAACTCCTTCTTACAGAAATCAACGACACGCTAGAGGTGTTAAACCTGAGCTGGAACCACATCCGGCGTATGGGTGCAGTGGCGCTGTGCAGAGGCCTTCAGGTACTGATTTTAACGGCTTGTTGATTACAGCCCGATTGTCTTAACAAGAACGTAACTGTTCAGAAAAAAAGACTTGCATGATAATACAGTCACATGTACTTTAGTATACAATTAAAGTATGTCATCGATCAATATGACAAGTGCGCGGTTTACTAACACCAGGTATATTAACCAAGGCGAGGGAAACCAGAACTTGTTATAATAATTCTGTTAGTACTTACCTAAGTTAAACCGTTTTATTACACTGATACAAACAGGAGATATTATTTACTGGGAAACAATTGCTAAAAAAATCAGAATATACTGGAAACGGAGTTGAATGAAAAAAACTCCCAAAAACAACAAAAAAGACAAACAAAACAAAAAGAAATAATTAAAGGCACGGAATTTGAAAGGGAAAGTGTCCTGTGCATATTGTCGGTGTGTTCTGTAGCATGTTCTGCAAAACCCTTGCCTGATTTGCTTGTCCGAAACAGTTGTGACTTTAACACTGTTTTGCGAAGTCGATGCAAAGTGGGGATTTCATAGACTTAAAAGAGTGTAAACAGCATAAAGACATATCAGTTCCACTTACATGGTTTTATCTTACACTCACAGAAAAATACTTCTATTGTCAACCTGAACTTGTCCTGGAATGGATTCGCCTTTGAGGGCAGTATCGTGCTGGAGGAGGCTATCAAGCTCAACAAGACTATACGGGTTCTTGATATCAGTAACAATCGTATCAACTGGGAGGGCGTTGTCTACATCGCCCGGGGACTCAAATTCAACACCTCATTACAAATGCTTAAGGTATGATACTCATCATGTGATCCTAATTGGCTGCCTATCGGGACTGTAGCCCTTGGAGGTTGTAGAATACAACGCACACCTTTATAGTTGATGTATCTATAATAGATTCATATTCTTAACGGCTACGCTCTAGTTTATCGTTATTTGTTTGTGTCATTAATGCTATTTTCAGACGATGTTTAACATTTGTTAAGAATATTGATATATTTTACGTATCAGTTGATACGTAGAGAGCCAGAGTACATGAATGTATAAATTTGAGACCCGCCACTGTTGTAGAGTGCACGGCTACATTGATTGTGCAGTAGACGGAGTTATGGCAGTTAGAATGCGTGTCGCCAATCACAAAAGGCAATGAATCCCCAAAATGGTAATTACACCAGTACATTATGTATGTCTCCTTTTTTTCTAATTTTTTCAGATCGGCAATAACCCGATATCGATGGAGGGTTGTTTGAAACTGCTGAAATCTGTGAGTGGTTCCAACAGTAGCGTGATGCACGTGGGACTGGAGGTAAGAGGCACCGAAAGGGTTTATATCAAAATGTTCAACTGTACTAGAATTTATATTCAGAACAAGTGGTTTATTCTCTTAATGTTTGTATCCATATTGTAATACCAGTATTTTACATTAAACATGTAATTAATGTGGGTGAAATATTTAGAATTAGACTCGAAAGAATGCATTCCTAGGTGCCCTTACCGAGTCCGACTTTAGTCAACCATTTCCAGACGTTTGGCCCTTATTTAATATTGTATCACCTGTGTTGTTAGGACATCCCAATAAACTCCAAGGTTATGGCAGTTGTGGAAGAAATCCGGTTCCAACGCCTATTTTCTGTCAACCATGGAGGTATACTTGACACCAAGGACATTATTGGTATCCGCAGAGGTAAGGCATTCAACATAGTCATCCTTAGAGTCAGGGAATTCCACATAGCCATCATTAGAGGTAAGACATTCCACATTGTCATCATTAGAGTTAAGGCGTTCCACATAGCCATTCGCAGAGGTAAGGCCAAAGTAATGTGACACGTTCTTTGATATAACTAAATATCTTTAAATGTCAAATGGATTAAAATACAAATATCGCTTATAAATATATGTATGACATCTGCGTTTCAGAGCGTCGGGAGGACCCCTTCACACTTCTCATTCGTTACCTTGGTGTCATGGGCATACGGGTAGTCGACCTCTTCCGAATATTTGACACGGACAGTCATGCGCATGTCACGAAAGAAAGCTTCATGAGGGGACTAAAGGTAATAGTGTACTAATGAAATACTGATCTATGATTGAAAGTGAATAATGATATCATTTTACGATATTGAAATTCAAACTTGGTATATGGTTATTACAGAAAATCGGCGCCCCACTCCCTGACCGGGATATGAGGATGGTAGCAAGACGACTAGACAGGCGAGGGGAGGGGTTTATAAGCTACAGGTAAGTCATGAGAGAGGGGTTTATAAGCTACATGTATGTCATGGAGAGGGGTTTATAAGCTACAGGTAAGTCATGAGAGAGGGGTTATTAGGTACAGGAAAGTCATGAGAGAGGGGTTATTAGGTACAGGTAAGTCATGAGAGAAGTTTATCAGCTACAGGTAAGTCATGGAGAGGGGGTTACTAGCTATAGGTAAGTCATGGAGAGGGGGTTACTAGCTATATGTAAGTCATGGAGAGGGGGTTATTAGCTATAGGTAAGTCATGGAGAGGGGGTTATTAGCTATAGGTAAGTCATGGGGAGGGGGTTATTAGCTATAGGTATGTCATGGAGAGGGGGTTATTAGCTATATGTTAGTCATGGAGAGGGGGCTACTAGCTATATGTAAGTCATGGAGAGGGGGTTACTAGCTATATGTAAGTCATGGAGAGGGGGTTATTAGCTATAGGTAAGTCATGGAGAGGAGGTTATTAGTTATATGTTAGTCATGGAGAGGGGGTTACTAGCTATAGGTAAGTCATGGGGAGGGGGTTATTAGCTATAGGTAAGTCATGGGGAGGGGGTTATTAGCTATAGGTAAGTCATGGAGAGGGGGTTATTAGCTATAGGTAAGTCATGGGGAGGGGGTTATTAGCTATAGGTAAGTCATGGAGAGGGGGTTATTAGCTATAGGTAAGTCATGGAGAGGGGGTTACTAGCTATAGGTAAGTCATGGAGAGGGGGTTACTAGCTATAGGTAAGTCATGGAGAGGGGGTTACTAGCTATAGGTAAGTCTTGGAGAGGGGGTTATTAGTTATAGGTAAGTCATGGAGAGGGGGTTATTAGCTATAGGTAAGTCATGGGGAGGGGGTTATTAGCTATAGGTAAGTCATGGAGAGGGGGTTATTAGCTATAGGTAAGTCATGGTGAGGGGGTTACTAGCTATAGGTAAGTCATGGAGAGGGGGTTATTAGCTATAGGTAAGTCATGGAGAGGGGGTTATTAGCTATAGGTAAGTCATGGAGAGGGGGTTACTAGCTATATGTAAGTCATGGAGAGGGGGTTACTAGCTATAGGTAAGTCATGGAGAGGGGGTTACTAGCTATAGGTAAGTCATGGAGAGGGGGTTACTAGCTATAGGTAAGTCATGGAGAGGGGGTTATTAGCTATAGGTAAGTCATGGAGAAGGGGTTACTAGCTATAGGTAAGTCATGGAGAGGGGGTTATTAGCTATAGGTAAGTCATGGAGAGGGGTTACTAGCTATAGGTAAGTCATGGAGAGGGGGTTATTAGCTATAGGTAAGTCATGGAGAGGGGGTTATTAGCTATAGGTAAGTCATGGAGAGGGGGTTATTAGCTATAGGTAAGTCGCTAAGACATGGTGAGGGGGTAACTAGCTACAGGTAAGTCATGGAGAGGGGGTTATTAGCTATAGGTAAGTCATGGAGAGGGGGTTATTAGCTATATGTAAGTCATGGTGAGGGGGGTAACTAGCTACAGGTAAGTCATGGAGAGGGGGTTACTAGCTATAGGTAAGTCATGGAGAAGGGGTTATTAGCTATAGGTATGTCATGGTGAGGGGGGTAACTAGCTACAGGTAAGTCATGGAGAGGGGGTTATTAGCTATAGGTAAGTCATGGAGAATGGGTTATTAGCTATAGGTAAGGCATGGAGAGGGGGTTACTAGCTATAGGTAAGTCATGGGGAGGGGGTTATTAGTTCCTTTTATGTGATTAAATACACGTGTTTTTTTTATTCAATTGACTGTTAAATTTGATTATATTTTCGTCTTTTCCTGAATTCTTTTTGTACTGGATTGAATCCAACTATCAATATTTGCGTGGAACTGTCTCTGATATTGCTATATATATATATATATAATGCATTGTTCCTATGCTCCACAGTCTGCTGGCCAACGGAGTACGTAACCAGATTCGACAGGAGAAGAAAGAAGACAAACGGCTGCTGTTGCTGGAACTCAAAAGGAGGGAGGAACGAAAGCGGATACTGCGACTGGGGGTAGGGGAACCAAAACTGCCTCCGATTTCAGATGTCAATGTTTTCTCATCTTCTGCCAAAGAAAATTTTAGTAGACTTTTCAGTTCCTCTTCATCCTCACTCAGTAGAGCTACGCTGCAAAGTAGAGGCGGGCGACTACCAAAAATACAGGGCGCGGATACGCCAGTCACCACATCTCGGACAACTTTATCTGAGGGAAAGGGCCAGTCTTCTGTCATCACTCCGAGGACTCAGTTGACCTCGAGGGCTAACGTTAGTAACACACATATAGAATCTATCAGTGAACAGACATCCCGCCCTACCACACCCCTAACACAAGTTGCACGTATCAGTGGGAACTCATCTCCTTGCAATCAAACACGGCGAGAGGAGTCCTTTTCAACACCTACCCCTCGGATACGACATGAGTCTAGTCTGACCTCACAATCGCAAGAGGTGTCCCCTTCTCACCCCTTACATCAGAAGGCATCCTCTTCATTCCCTACAACATAAGATACCAATCTCTACTGGAGATAGCAACATGTGATTGATTACAAGATAGCCTATATACGTACGTGTTTCGTTCCATAAAGTGCCATATAGCCGTACCTTATATAACTGTAGTGAGTCAAAATTGAACACTAAGGAACTTGTTTAAACGACGGTGACAACATCTGGCTTCATCAACAGTGATTGAACTTATGACAGTTTTAATATGGACAGTGAATCCAGGGTGTCAGATGTTATTGTGACATTACTTTGTTAATAAAACCGGTTATTGTATATTAACTGTTAATACATCACATATAGACAGTGTCTCTTGTTCTTAGACCTAACATAAATATCCACCAGATGGACCTGACATAAATCACCACCAGATTGGCCTGACATAAATCACCACCAGATTGGCCTGACATAAATCACCACCAGATAGGCCTGACATAAATCACCACCAGATTGGCCTGACATAAATCACCACCAGATGGACCTGACATAAATCACCACCAGATTGGCCTGACATAAATCACCACCAGATTGGCCTGACATAAATCTCCACCAGGTTGATCTGACATAAATCTCCACCAGATTGGTCTGACATAAATCTCCACCAGGTTGATCTGACATAAATCTCCACCAGATTGGCCTGACATAAATCACCACCAGATTGGCCTGACATAAATCTCCACCAGATTGGCCTGACATAAATCTCCACCAGATTGATCTGACATAAATCTCCACCAGATTGATCTGACATAAATCACCACCAGATTGGCCTGACATAAATCTCCACCAGATTGGCCTGACATAAATCTCCACCAGATTGGCCTGACATAAATCTCCACCAGATTGATCTGACATAAATCACCACCAGATTGGCCTGACATAAATCTCCACCAGATTGGCCTGACATAAATCTCCACCAGATTGATCTGACATAAATCTCCACCAGGTTGATCTGACATAAATCTCTACCAGGTTGATCTGACATAAATCTCTACCAGGTTGATCTGACATAAATCACCACCAGATTGATCTGACATAAATCACCACCAGGTTGGCCTGACATAAATCTCCACCAGATTGGCCTGACATAAATCTCCACCAGATTGGCCTGACATAAATCACCACCAGCTCCACCAAATGGGCCTGACATAAATCACCACCGGATTGGCCTGACATAAATCACCACCAAATGGGCCTGACATAAATCACCACCAAATGGGCCTGACATAAATCACCACCAGATGGACCTGACATAAATCTCCACCAGATTGGCCTGACATAAATCTCCACCAGATGGACCTGACATAAATCACCACCAGCTCCACCAAATGGGCCTGACATAAATCTCCACCAGATTGGCCTGACATAAATCTCCACCAGATGGACCTGACATAAATCACCACCAGCTCCACCAAATGGGCCTGACATAAATCACCACCAGATTGGCCTGACATAAATCACCACCAGATGGACCTGACATAAATCACCACCAGATTGGCCTGACATAAATCACCACCAGATTGGCCTGACATAAATCTCCACCAGATGGACCTGACATAAATCACCACCAGATTGGCCTGACATAAATCTCCACCAGATTGGCCTGACATAAATCACCACCAGATTGGCCTGACATAAATCTCCACCAGATTGGCCTGACATAAATCTCCACCAGATTGGCCTGACATAAATCTCCACCAGATTGGCCTGACATAAATCTCCACCAGATTGGCCTGACATAAATCTCCACCAGATTGGCCTGACATAAATCTCCACCAGATTGGCCTGACATAAATCTCCACCAGATGGACCTGACATAAATCACCACCGGATTGGCCTGACATAAATCTCCACCAGATTGGCCTGACATAAATCTCCACCAGGTTGATCTGACATAAATCTCCACCAGATTGGCCTGACATAAATCACCACCAGATTGGCCTGACATAAATCTCCACCAGATTGGCCTGACATAAATCTCCACCAGATTGGCCTGACATAAATCACCACCGGATTGGCCTGACATAAATCTCCACCAGATTGGCCTGACATAAATCACCACCAGCTCCACCAAATTGGCCTGACATAAATCACCACCAGATGGACCTGACATAAATCTCCACCGGATTGGCCTGACATAAATCACCACCAGCTCCACCAAATGGGCCTGACATAAATCACCACCGGATTGGCCTGACATAAATCACCACCAAATGGGCCTGACATAAATCTCCACCGGATTGGCCTGACATAAATCACCACCAAATGGGCCTGACATAAATCCTCACCAGCTCCACAAAATGGGCCTGACATAAATCACCACCGGATTGGCCTGACATAAATCACCACCAAATGGGCCTGACATAAATCTCCACCAGATAGGCCTGACATAAATCTCTACCAGATAGGCCTGACATAAATCACCACCAGATTGGCCTGACATAAATCTCCACCGGATTGGCCTGACATAAATCACCACCAAATGGGCCTGACATAAATCTCCACCGGATTGCCCTGACATAAATCACCACCAAATGGGCCTGACATAAATCCTCACCAGCTCCACAAAATGGGCCTGACATAAATCACCACCGGATTGGCCTGACATAAATCACCACCAAATGGACCTAACATAAATCACCACCAGATTGGCCTGACATAAATCTCCACCAGATTGGCCTGACATAAATCACCACCAGCTCCACCAAATGGACCTAACATAAATCTCCACCAGATTGGCCTGACATAAATCTCCACCAGATTGATCTGACATAAATCACCACCAGATGGACCTGACATAAATCTCCACCAGATTGGCCTGACATAAATCTCCACCAGATTGGCCTGACATAAATCTCCACCAGATTGGCCTGACATAAATCTCCACCAGATTGGCCTGACATAAATCTCCACCAGATGGGCCTGACATAAATCACCACCAGCTCCACCAAATGGGCCTGACATAAATCACCACCAGATTGGCCTGACATAAATCACCACCAGATTGGCCTGACATAAATCACCACCAGATGGGCCTGACATAAATCACCACCAGATTGGCCTGACATAAATCACCACCAGATTGGCCTGACATAAATCTCCACCAGATGGACCTGACATAAATCTCCACCAGATTGGCCTGACATAAATCTCCACCAGATGGACCTGACATAAATCACCACCAGCTCCACCAAATGGGCCTGACATAAATCTCCACCAGATTGGCCTGACATAAATCTCCACCAGATGGACCTGACATAAATCTCCACCAGATTGGCCTGACATAAATCTCCACCAGATGGACCTGACATAAATCACCACCGGATTGGCCTGACATAAATCACCACCAAATGGACCTGACATAAATCTCCACCAGATGGACCTGACATAAATCACCACCGGATTGGCCTGACATAAATCACCACCAAATGGACCTGACATAAATCACCACCAGATGGACCTGACATAAATCTCCACCAAATGGGCCTGACATAAATCACCACCAGATTGGCCTGACATAAATCACCACCAAATGGACCTGACATAAATCACCACCAGATGGACCTGACATAAATCTCCACCGGATTGGCCTGACATAAATCTCCACCAGATTGGCCTGACATAAATCACCACCAGATGGACCTGACATAAATCACCACCAGATTGGCTTACTATTGTCCTCTGTTTTGTGAGCTTAAAATGAACTTCGTCCCATCTAGGTGGTAAAAGGACTACGAATGATGTGTAAAACGTGACGAATTCATGAAAGAAAGGTTACCAGGATGTAAATTAGACTGTAGCATCTCTGTAACGGTCAGTTATATAATTCCTTGTTGTGTAAATATTATCAGAAAGTAGTTTATACTTCATGGAATAAGGAGGAAAGAGGAGAGATTATATTCTGGTGACACAATCCTCTGTTAATACAGCGCCTTTCACTCTTGTTTGTCTGACGTAGGTAGCTTGTCAGGTCTTTCCTTCCAAATCTATTCACCTGGCGATTATATTATAATCAGTTTAATGTTAATTTAGAAAATGTTAAGATATATACCAGCACAGCCAAGTCTATGACTTTCACCAGACTATTTTTCGGCAAGGAATATAGTTCATATATATCGTTTTTGTTAGGTGTGATCATTCACAAATAGCATGCCCTACAGCACACGTCAATAACATAACCTACAGCTCACGTCAAAAACATAACCTACAACACACGCCAATAACATAAACTACAGCACACGTCAATAACATACCCTACAGCACGCGTCAATAACATAACCTACAGCTCACGTCAAAAACATAACCTACAACACACGCCAATAACATAACCTACAACACACGTCAATAACATACCCTACAGCACGCGTCAATAACATAACCTACAGCTCACGTCAAAAACATAACCTACAACACACGCCAACAACATAACCTACAGCACACGTCAATAACATACCCTACAGCACACGTCAATAACATAACATACAGCACACGTCAATAAAATAACCTACAACACACGTCAATAACATAACCTACAGCTCACATTAATAACATAACCTACAACACACGTCAATAACATAACCCACAACACACGTCAATAACATAACCTACAACACACGTCAATTACATAACTACAACACACGTCAATAACATAACCTACAGCTCACATTAATAACATAACCTACAACACACGTCAATAACATAACCCACAACACACGTCAATAACATAACCTACAACACACGTCAATAACATAACCTACAGCACACGTCAATAACATAACCTACAGCTCATGTCAATAGCATACCCTACAGCACTCACCAATAACATAACCAACAGCACACATCAATAACATACCCTACAACACACGTCAATAAAATAACCTACAACACACGTCAATAACATAACCTACAGCTCACGTCAATAACATAACCTACAACACACGTCAATAACATAACCTACAGCACACGACAATATCATTACCTACAACACACGTCAATAACACACGTCAATA